TTTTTATTTTTGCAGTTTGTGTTCGCTTTCATTTCAAACATTTAATTTTACGTACTTAACCACAGAATTTGATTAATATTTCATTTAAACACTTTTACATTTTTATGTCATTTAATTCATTAAACTCACCACAATTGCAACATAATTTTAATTTAAATTAAAAAAAAGTTAAACAGTATTTTTACTTTATATTTCAATAATGAAATGTGTCAGTGATACTTTTTTATATTTTGTTACTTTATGAAAAAAAAACCAGAACATACACAAGGTTTCGTAAATCATTAAAAATTATTTATGAAACACAATGAAATTATAGTCTAGTTAGAGTATGTTATCTACTCAAATTAAATTTAAAAAAAATTAAATTAATATTGTATTAAATAATGAAATCACACTCTAAATTTCACTTTTTAATTATTTATTTGATTGAAGTGATGAGAACCTTTTACATTAATTATTAATTAATATTTTTCATCATTTAAAATAATAATAAAATTAATTAAATATCATATAAACAAAGCCACAATCATTACTCATGCCAGGGAAGACAAATGGCAGTTACACTGACATTGTTCAGAGCGTCTAGGTTGACATCATAAAAACGATTACAGGCGCATCTTGCAACTGATACAATGAGACCGAGCTGTCAGGAGTTAGTGGAGACCCAAACACCAACCACTTAACTGTTCGGAAGCATTTAGAATGAACAGATTACGCAAAGACCCCCGATGTAAAGTTACCACACGAATTCATGAAAAATTTGATTGACTTAATTATCACCAATGAAACGTTGATAAAATGCAACGAAACCGAACTACTGTTGAGGCGTACTTTTACGGGCGATAAAAAATAGATTGAATACAATAATATACAATACAAGAGATCGTGGTCAAAAGCCATTGAGGATTGAGGATAAACAAGGTTATGTTAAGTGTTTGGTAAGTCTAGAAAGAGTAGTTTGTCTACTACGAGCTGCTCCGACCTAGTACAACGCTTAATTCGGCCGTCTACTACTCACAAATCGACCGCTTAAATGAAATAATTAAGAAAAACCGATCAGAATTGATCAACAATCAGCAGTTGTGTTCCATCATCACAAAGTCAAGCCATACTTTACACCACAAAGTAGTTAATCTGTTGTGATAACCCCAAACTTCGTCCAGTTTGATGGTGTGTCTTCTTTCATATGTTGTAAGCAACAACAATTCTATTCGCCGGATGGATAAGTCTGCTGCTAGTCACTTTATACCATTCACAGTGAATGTGTTCAAAAATATTAATAACCATTTAAAAAAAAAACAGCAAATTCTGGTTTCTAAAAGATCTATTGTGTTAAAAAGGTACATCAGTCTGCTTTCGCTTGTCAGAACCTGGTAAGAGTTTTAATATTCTTTCTGGTCAGTGTAAGAAGTCTATTTAGATTGCCTTAAATAGGTTGATCAATCACTAGAAATAAATCCGGTCTTAACATGTGACGAAGTACAAAAAGTCTCAAATACTAATAATTGACGTTAGGCTCCTCGTTTCAGTTGAAACGTTCATAGAAGCATCAGACCTGACAAAGCTGTTATTTGTTCACTTCCATTTCCATAGTTTTAACCTCTTAAAACTAAATTATTAATTATTTAATATCAAATTATTAATAAATAATTTAAATTACTTAGTTAGTTGGCCAACACAGACGTGAGTCGTTGTTGGCCGCGTTAAATAGGCTCCGCCTGTCAGCCCGATCAGCAGCTTGTTGTTGTCGCCAGTTGGTTGTACCAAGCGCCCCCAAATCATTGGTCAACTGACCCCTTCACTGAAGATGTGGACGTCCTTTACCGCGTTTTCCACCTACAGGTACCGAATCGCACACTTTTTTGGTCGGAGCACTTTCCTTCATTTCCATAATTTAATATTAAGAATATCTTCATTAATTGTGTTAATTTTATAATATTTCTTTTATTAATTCTTAATATATCACTATTATTTTCCTCATTGATTCAGTTTGGATCACATACTTGGCTTGATAATAATTTATGTTCCATAAATCTAAAGCTTTAATTACATTTTATTTCTATAATCATTGGTGTCCCAACAAGAATTTTTCAATTTTTATTCACTGTTTTAATTAATTTTGTTAAATTAATCTCAGCGGGATAGCTTAATATTCTTTTTTTCAATAAGCAAGATTCAAATTGAAATTGCAAAATGTAACTGTAACTGCAACTGATTTTAAACTCTTTTTTTTTAGAAATCAATTTGTGGTCACAGAGCTGCACCCTTTTCACTCCCAATAATAAATAAAATTTTTTAACAACCATCGACAATCCAATATGCAAACGATTCCTTGTTAAAATTCCAGAAACGCAGATACTAGTTTACATGTGTGATAAATATTGGGGTCAATTACATGTTGGCATTTGGCTAAAATTTCCATGGCTATTCAGATGACTTCGATTTCAAATCAAATTCAATTCTAACACCTAAGATTTAAGATATAAATGAATTTTCTAACTTCAAATATTATTAAAATTTCAGTTGAGTTTAAAAAACATTTATAAATAATTTAAAAAATTCTGTCATGGTCTATTGTCAAATTATTGTACCTCAAGCTGCTTCAAAAAATAGTAATAAAAATATTTTATTTGAAATGAAAAATACTTGCCACTTTAGGATATGCAAAGGTGTATCCAGTTGCTGAAATTCAAAAATAAATTAGAAAAAAAGGCACCTATTCAACTTTACCAGCAGGTCCAGCAGCTCCGGCAGCAACAGCAGAAAAACATTGACAAACTGCACAATTTATTACCTGAAATAGATTCGCCACCATGGAACAGTTTTCATTTGATGCATCAGGCAGAAATTGCTGTGGGCATTGGAACGTTGCGCATTGTGTGGGCTATAACTCCAAATTGGTAGTTTTGTCCATTTTACTGGTGACAAATTCGTTCGCCATAGGCTAATTACAAGCCATAAAGTCCGTATTCGCTGGCTTCCAGATCGACCAATTTGCATACATTTTGTCATATCAACCAATAATTTGAATTTTATTAAATTTAAATTGGATAAAAAGAGTTCAGAGAATAAGTTAAGTGATTTCATTTAAAAATTAATAAAAAATACGCATATAAATATAAAGTTGATAAAGTGTCTTTCAAAGTCATAAATTTGTCAGGCATTGTCAAAATCTGCTGAGTGGATTTCTATGAAACGAACTGATGAATGCCGGATGCAGTGCAACCATTCATCAATTTTTAATACAGTAATAATTATTTTGTTACAAAAAATATATACGTTATATACTATAACGTTTAATAAATCAGTCTCTAAAAAGCAGAACTTAATCTAGTAATTGATCTACACAAATAATTGCCTTAAAAAGAAAGGTATGAGTCAGTTATTCCACTCAAGGATATCTGTTAAAATAACCCCTGATTAGAAAATATATTTATTAAGTTATAGCTTAACAATAAAAAGATTTTCATACTTTTAATGAAATGAAATATGTAATAATCAATATTTAATAAGAAGGTAAATAATTAACTTAATAATTTCCAAAATTTTTTAATAGAAATCTGTTATTAAATTAAGTCAAACATCAGTCAAAAATCAAAAAATTTAGAAGAAAATTTCTTAATTTCATTAAAAATGGTTAAATATAAATAAAAACAGACCACATAAGGTGAAAATCAGATTGATTGGAATTTTCTAAAATATTTTCTTAATTCCAATGAATAATTTCACTGCTAGAAATTAGAGTTTTGACCCCATCCTGTACATATAATATACTGCAATAACACTATAAACACATTTTTTTTATTGTAATTCTCTTTCTGGCACAATCCTGCCTTAATGCAGCATCAAAGTTTGATTATTACTTATATATAACTTATCTTATTTAATAACTCTAAACTTCATACTACCAACTTCGTTAATCTGATGGAAAAGTTTTGGTTTACAAGACCGACAACCTAATCACAATGACGTAAAGAAAAAAATTTATTAATGTTATTATTTTTGTCGAAAGTGATATCTCTTACGACGAAAAAAATTCAAATATTGCCTAAGACCACTGATGATGAGTACTTGGCAATACTCGAAACAGCGTTGAATGGTCAGTCAAACTTCATTAAATTATTAAAATTTTTGTTGTTGTCGTTTCATTTCTATTCGAACCCTTCTTCAATAACTTCAATCCCACACAATTTTTTATGAACATCAGTTTTTTCTTTGTAAAATGAACTACTGACAGATCAATTCCTTTTCAGTCCCTATGTAGCCATGCAGCTGTCTACATTCTACACATATCTGATATTAGTATCACGTTGATAGATATCACGATGTGAATAAAAATCTGGTAGTTTGTTGGTTAATTGGATTTCATGCAATCTCTTATGGTCCTCGGAAATCAAATCTCTTATACCAACTGTCTCGAAGAGTCAAGCTGTCATTAAATCACTGATAGACACTTCAGCCACATCAATCATAACTCAAAAGTTTTGTGCTTCCCTCAATGATCTAGTTAAGTGCGTTAAGGCTCAACTCATTTGGGTTCCTGGTCACACTCATATCTAGAGTAATTGCTTTGCGCATGAGCTTGCCAAAGCAGGTACTCTTCTTCCTGACATTCACTTCTCAGACATTGGCATTCCATTTGCAACAGCTAAACTGGCAAATCAATAAAAATATCTAAGCATAGCCAAGCACCACTGGGCTGATAGATCAGCTGTCAAGACTCTAGGTTGACTTGGTCTAATTTGGACAAAAAAATGCACCAATTAGCTACTTCAACTAAAGCGGAACCAACTCAGCACTACGGTATCGGTGCTGCTGGATCACACTTCATCCTTTCCTGAAAATTCATTGACTCTATTTCTTGTTTAGCCTTTTATAAATTTCTAACTGAATGTGATGCTATTCATATTTTATTAATTAAACCATATATAATAAATAATAAAATATCTTAAGTATAATAAAAATATTTTCGAAGAACCAAAAAAATATTTTGAAAGAAATTAAATGCAGAGAGCTTTCTCATTTCCCTTCGAAGAATTTGAGTTACTATTAACGCACTTTTTAACAGGGTGGCATGTACAGGCATCACGTGTACGATTCGCAATCCAAGTGTTAAAGTTATTCACACGAGTGTATACACCGGGTGTGTTGGGTTTAGCACAACCTTCGCCCCATGAAGTTATACCAGCTAATTGATGTTCCTTGGTATTGTTAACAATAACATGCAAAGGCCCACCACTATCGCCTTGACAAGCATCCTTGCCACCTTCATCATAGCCAGCACAAAGCATATTATCAGTAATACTTGGACCATATTTGCTACCACGGCAAGCCTCCTGTGATATTATAGGCACCTCTACTTCCTACAATAAAAAAGCGTTACTTACTTATAAAAGTTACTTATATTATTATTAATGTTGTGATTACATTGTTACTTTGTACTACTTTTTATTAACATTGCTATTATATTAAATAATATAAAATCTAACCTGCAAAGTCTGCGACACACTGCCTCCTTGGCTTAGTGCCCCCCAACCAGTCGCTACAGCGTTTTCACCAGCAAAACTTTTATCTGGATCGGGCATACAAACTGGCCGGAGTAAATCATTTACTTCAACTGGTTCCGACATACGTATCAGAGCGATATCGCTATCAAAAGTACGTGTACTGTAGTCTGGATGTATAAATATTTTGTCAACATTCCGATCAATTTTATGTACGCTGCTGTTCTTGCGATTGTGCTCCAACAAACGTATTGTTATTAACGGTTTCCTAAAACCCTTTACACAATGTGCAGCCGTCAAGACATATTGATCATTAATTAATGTGCCTCCACAATAGAAACTACCTCTGGAGAGCAACATCGCCATCCAAGGATATTGATGCGTTACCGTCTCCTGGCCACCAACAATGCGATGTATTTTATTTATGGTGCCGCAATTGCATTCTGCGCATGAGCGTTGTGGCGCGCTAGTAGTTGTTGTCGTAGTTGTAGTAGTGGTTGAACTTGGGTTAAAGATTTGATTGATCCATGTCACAATTATGTTATCACGTGTAGTATTTAAATTTGAATTTGTGCTATCGAAATCTATTGTTATTGAAGCGCTACTTTTTTCCAAATGCGACGATGTTGTCCAACTTAAAAAGCAGAAAAAAATTATTAAATACTTAAGTTGTAAAACCATTTTGTGGAAGATTTTGCGAAAATCTTTGCGACGTTAATCGAACTGAAGTGGAAGACTATCGAAGATCAACTGCAAAGCTGAAAAATCTAACTAACGTAACGGAGCATGACAAGTTCATACTGGCAGCATTTCAAGTTTAAGTTCAATGCAAATCTTTTTGAAATGCAGCAAGACTAACTGGAATCTTCAACGAGCTCTTATGCAAAACTAGTTGAAACACTGCCAATATCCAAAGAAAATTGTCCATTAAATGCTTTGACACATTGCACGATCTTCAAGTGCATCGAAAGCTGTCTTATTGACAAAGAAACGATTCAAGTTTTTCTATTAAATTGTAACCTACTTTATTGAATAAATTAAAATAAATAAATTATATATAAAAAAGTAATTATTTAAAAAAAAAATGGCATTTGTACTATTTTTTCTTGATTTTCTTCGTCTCCGAATGACAGAGACAGGCATTTTTTGTTAATGTTTTGATCCATGTACCATAACGATTAACCCTTGCATATACGCCTGGATAACCTGGTTTAGCACAACCTTCACCCCAAGACACAACGCCAGCCAGTTGATGTTCCCTTGTACCTGATGCTACTATGTGTAATGGTCCACCACTATCACCTTGGCAAGAATCCTTTTGACCAGCTTCAAAGCCAGCACATAGCATATTGTCTGTGATCCGTGTTGATCCATAACGACTTTTACGGCAATCGTCCTGAGACATTATTGGTACCATAACTTCCTATAATAAAAAATTGTTTATAGCAAGTTAACTCATACAGTTCTGGATGTTATAGTGCAAAAAAAAATTAATAAAACATATATCGTAATATATTACAAAGCTTTGAAACTACAAAAAAAATAAGTATTTGTTTCAAAATTTTATTATATCTGACTCTAAGCTATTAAAAGAAATACATATATTATATATACGATATATAAATATCATATGCTGAATATTATAGAGTAGTTTGACTCAATAATTTTAATTATTTAGAAACTATTAATCAGTGCCTAAAAAAAATTTTTAATCAGATTATTAGAAGAATGGGTGTTTTATTTATTTTGGTTAACATTTCTTAGCATAAAGATTTAGATATACTCGTCTAAATAATATACAATACATTCTGAAGTCCACCGAAGGTTTTAAAAATTAATATTTGTGATGGGTCCATCTATTGGCTATATAGTAATATCCCTCTTTTTAATAATTTTTTTGGACACCTCGATATATTTGGCAGGAGTTGGATATAGCATATTTTGTTTTCATATTGACATAATAAAGTTCTATATAAAGTAAATAAATTTTATAGTATTTTTATTATTTCCATCTATTGGGAATAACATGCTTCGATAAGATCGGATCCTTGACTAATGCACTTGTAAAATCTTTGGACTAATGTAAGTGATGTAATTATATTCGTAAAGATTGATAAGTGATTAATCTCTTTCTAATGCACTTAACTATTATTAGATTCTATATCAAATTGCCAATGAAAACAATACACTGTATACAGTTAAAATTTGTTCTGAAGGCTTATTCTAACAATCTGACGAACTATCAATTTAGGCGAAAATGTTCACTTTCTATTTCTTTCTATCATAAAGTTTTGACGGTATATCAATCTACATTATGAATACAATTGATTGTCTTTCTAGAAATAACTATAAAATCATACTTATTTAAGAATCCACCTTGTGTATATCTCTTATATCAATAGAGGTATTGCTTACTTGTAAAGTATCTGATGTAGGACCACCAACTTTAAGTGCACCCCAACCAGCTACTATAGCAGTTTCACCTTTAAATGATTTGCCCGGCGTAGGCATACAAACTGGATGTAAGAGTTCTGTTATTTCTACTGGTGTATCGAGTTTAATAATGGCTATATCATTATCATATGTGCGAGAACTGTATTTAGGATGTGTTATAATTTCTGAAATATTGCGATCGATCTTCTGAAAATGTGACATCTTACGATCATGTTCAAGTAAACGTACACTGATGCGTTCCTTACGGAATCCATAGACACAATGTGAAGCACTGATAAGGTATTGATCATTAATTAAGGATGCAGCGCAATAAAAACGACCACCATACAATAACATAGCCATCCAAGGATATTGGTGTATTTCGGTTTCTTGACCACCTACTATGCGTTTCTGTGTATTCGCAACACCACAAACACAATCAGTACAATTTCTTGGTGGATTTAGTATAACAGGTGCTGGTGTTGTTGTTGTTACAATTGTTGAACTGGGTGTAGCAGTGGTAGTTGTTGCACTTGTGGAACTAACTACTATTGGTGCAGCTGTGGTTGAAGTACTAATTGTAGTAGTACTGGGTTTCGCTGTAGTTGTTGTGGGCTCCGGTGATTTAGTTGAAGAGGGTGGATTTGGTGTAGTTGTGCTTGTTCCAAGTGTTGCTGCTGTTGTTGTAATTGTTGGAGTGGCATTTGCTGATGCAGGTCTTTGTGGTAAAAGAGATAGCACCCATTGTATAAATGTATTTTGAGTTTGTCTTAAAGTTGGCAATGTTTGAGAAGTTAAAAAGTTATTATCAATTTCAAAACTACGTTCACTTTCCACGTATTTTAAAGCAATCAGTAAGAACATTAAAAACAATAATTTCCGTTTGAAACACATTTTTATCTATTAAAAATGATTACTTTTCCAATCTTTGCACTTCTTTTGCTTATTAATTGATTTAATAATAAAACTTCATTTATCGATTGCCTTTCTCCACAGTCCGACACTTACTAGAGTCAACTTATGTTTCAATTCTTCGCCAAAGCCTCAATTTTACAAATCGCCTTGAACACTTTTTACCTCATAACTCTCACTCACACCTCTCCACTTGCTCATCACTTTTGTTTTTATTTTTATTTTTGCTTACTAAACGTTTATGCTAATTTGCATACGCTTGTTAACAGGCCGCGGTGCTCTAGCGTGGGCGCCCGCAAACAGCTGGAACCACTTTTACAGACCTCGTCTTGGTTTCGCAGTTGCTACTGTTCACGTTTAGAGTGGCGAAAGTTTCTCGCTTCTTCAATTAATAAATTTTGCCAGTTCATGTGAATTCATACGTCTACGGCGTATTCGCCACAAATTTCGATCACTAAATCGTTACGATTTATTGGTCACACCATTTACGTGAATTGCTTTCTTAAGTGGTTCATGATAGACTGCCGGTTGGCTATTTTTTTATAAACTGTGTCTATCGAAACCACAGCTATGATTAAATAATTAATTTCCCTATTTCAGTTTTGTTTAGAATTCAAATTTGTAGTTATTACGAAATTATTTAATACAAAAAAAAAAAACAATTTAATTTCGGTTTTTATGCTTTTGAATATGTAAAAGTAAAAGGGCTTTTATTTAAATATTTTTTAGATTTGTTTATATGATGAACTAAATAAATTTATTATACATTTGTAATAGTTGACATAAAGTGAGAAACTTTTACTATTAATTATATAGTATACAAAATGGATCTATTGATATACAATCCACTTTATACTATTATAACTATCAAACTGGTACTACCGCTATAGTTGTATATTCGCTTCTAGGAAGGTACTTTGTCTAAGTTAGAGTTTAAATGTAATACTCTATATTTAATGGATCTATATTTAACTGAAAAACCACAAGTCATTATTTTTAGAGCTTAATAACAATGTTAGAGTAAAATAACTAAACAAAAAAATTTTTCGAGTCTCGAACCACAGCCTATTTTAAAGACTAGCAGTACTTTAAGAAAATTTAATTATATTACTTGATATGATACCGCTACATTTTGGTGCAAAAATGAAACTTAACATTAATAGATCGCTCAAATAACTTAATGTAAATAAATCTTTCGTGTCTCAAAGCGTTGCACATCATGAAGACTGACTGCATATTGAGAGGATTCAGAGGTAATACTTAATCTTAATGCGCGTCATTTAAGCAAAAAAATCACCAACTTGTTAAAAGTCAGTACAACAATGAAAGATATATGAATGATAACACAAATAGTCAAAAAATAACTTATATGAACTCAAATAAACTTCAAAAAGATCAAAATTACGTTGACAAATTGGGTTCAATATAGCAAAGAAAGTGTACCGCTATCACAATTTTTGTTAGTTACCATATATTGTCTTCTTTGATTATATAGAATGATCGATTTTATTAAACAGAGAGAGCATAAGTAAATTTTAATATTGGAACGGACACCAAGAGTCGGGAATCCCCATCTGTTTTGGTTGGCAGCCTCTACTGATGCCTTAGATTTGATGCTTTGCGCAACCACACTTTTTAATGAGACTGACAGAATGTTTCAAGATGGGAGTATCCTCCCATGTCACACAAAAAATGCGCCTACCAACAGCAGCTGAAATTTAACATTGCATTTTTTATATCTATAGAAAAGTTTGCTTCACTTCTAGATATGGATCTTCTTAGAGAACGTCGTCATAATCCCGTAAACCTTAGATCTACCTAAGTCAGTGGCAGATTTCACTCCTCACAAAACTCCTATCGTTGGATACAAATAAATCCTCTTCGAACCATCGTTAGCTTTTCCCCAGGAATCCATTAGGGGCATAAAGCTCTAGTGCCTATTAGTTTCTGTTTGTAATATAGTGAAGTAACGCTTCTGGTCAGTTATGTTAGTTGTTATACTATGCTTATGAACTCTATTTATTGAACTTTAATTATATTCTCACTTTTGCTTCCTGTATCTGACATTATTATTCGCTACTATAACAAATGTATAAAATAACATTCATCACTATAGGAGTTTCTCTTAAAAATTTTAAGAGAAAGTTACCTCTCGTCTTCAAATCATAAGCACTTCTAGGAGTAAATTTCGAACGTTCATCATTTTATTTTGACAGTGGCGGCAACCACGACGGATCCCGTATTTAAAGTGATACAATAGAGCCACTTAATGTCAACATATTCATGCTTAATTAAAGGTATTAAATTTATACTTCTTTAATTGATATCAGCGTGATTCGGACTCTGTGTTTTTGTGATTCAAAACTAGTTCACATACGAAATTAGACACAGATTCAATAATATATGACCTACAAACATAACGATTTGTATGGAGCATATTTTGGGAAGGAGCAC